ATGACCAAAAAATACAGGGTCTTAGAGGCTATATAAAGATGTGGTCTTAGCCAGGTGCAGTAGTACATGTCTGTAATCCCAGCACTCATGGAGGTACAGGCAGGCAGATCTCTATCCAGATCTCGGAATTCAAGGCCAGCCTAGTCTACAAAGTGAGTCCAGGACAGCCAAGGCTACACAGACAAACCCTATCTTGAAAACAAACAAACAAAAAATAACCCAACACCAACCCCGCCAAAAAAAAAAAAAAAAGGGGGGGGGGGTTGATTAGAGAATCCTAAAACCAGTAAAGAATTCCCTGTGATCCTATTACTAGGTTAAACAACTATTCTATAATCTATAATCAATAATCATGAAATTTATTGATTGTAGTAAGCCATAACACTTGGTTAAAACCCACAAATTCAAACTAGAATACCAAAATCAGGAGTGTAAGAGAACATAAGGTATTCTAGGCATTCTACAAAGGGAGGAAAAAAAAGATGTGTTTTTAAGTATCCACAATCACATCAAAAAAAGGAGCAACAGGGGCTGGAGAGATGGCTCGGCTCAGAAGTTAAGAGCACTGGCTGTTCTTCCAGAGGTCCTGAGTTCCATTCCCAGCAACCACATGGTGGCTCACAACCATCTATGATGAGATCTGGTGCCCTCTTCTTCCCTATAGGTACAAATGCTGGCAGAATACTGTATAAATACATTTAAAAAAAAAAAAAAAAAAGGAGCCTAAGAAGCAGAGGTGTGATCCTGCTGAGTTTTGAAACTTTGCTAGGTTCTTTGAAGTATGCTACTTTTCCAAATTTGTACAATTTGTTTTATCATTGGACTTTAAGATCAAAACAACTTGTCTACTGTGACAAACTAACAGCTTAGGAAAGCAAAACTGCAAGGTGGGACAGGGTGCACACCTGTAATCCCAGCAGAGGAGGCAGAAGCAGGAAGATCTCTGAGTTCCAGGATAGCCTGGTCTACAAAGTGAGTCCAGGACAGCCAAGGCTACACAGAGAAACCCTGCCTTGAAAACTCCCCAAGAAAAAGCAAAACTACAGAGCAGTGTTGCCCAGTACTCAGGAGGCAGAGGTAGGTGAGTTTAAGGCCAGCCTTATCTACAGAGCAAGTTTTGAGAATAGTCAAGACTACTCAAAAAGACCATCTTGAAAAACCAAAAAGGAAAAAAACAAAAACAAAAAACATTAAAAACCATGACATGATGCACAATCTTTTCTCTGTCCATAATTTCTTCTTTTAGCAAGTTCCTGTAACTAATGTATAAGACAACTATAGATCTAAAGTATTACAAACCATGGAATACCAACTTGTTTTGCATAGATAAATAACCTATTTCTGTTTATAGTTGCTATAAATTTCAAAACTAATTTAGGCATTTACACTAGATTTTGGTTTGCAGTACTATGATATTCTTGTGAATCTAGAAAATTCCCTTCACTTCTGGGGAATGAAATACACTGGACATCAGAATAGAGATACTAACCTAACTCTGGAAAGTATGTGCTGAAAGAACATAAATTCCTTCAGAAGACATTCATAATGCTGAGCAGACACAGCTTTGATCAAACTGAATGAGGTCCTCATGTCTGCAATGATGCAGAGAAGATAAAAGGAAGAGAAATGCTCTGGTATATGATTTAAGATTTTAACTTTAATATCATGGAACAACAAAGACTTGCAAACTTGACAAGATAAAGTTTTATAGTTCCAGTATTACACAGTTAATCTGAGATGAAAAGATCACTTAAATAATACTACTGGAGGGCTGGCAGTGAAAAACTTAAATTATCTTAGTACCTCAGGGAACAACACTGAGACATTATACAAATCTTGGAAGTTAAAATGATCAATTTACTGAAGAGGCAGGTGGATCTCTGAGTTTGAGGCCAGCCTGGTCTACAAGTGAGTTCTAGGACAGCTAGGGCTGTTACACGGAGAAACCCTATCGGGGAAAAACTTAAAATAAGAGAAATCTATCTAAGTTTTGGCTGGTAGAGGGATCTCTGTGAGTTCAACGCCAGTCCAGTCTACAGAACTAGTACCAAGTCAGTCAGAGACACACATAAAAACCCTGTGCTGAAAAACTAAAAAAGAAAAATCCAAAATTTATCTTTCAAAACCGTGGATAGTCAGGACCTAATCTGAGAACTTTCAAGAATTTTATACAGCCAGGGAGGCGTGGTGGCTCATGACTTAATCCCGGCTCTCAGGAAGCAAAGGAAAGCAAACCTATGAAAGCTCCAGACCAGCCTGATCTACAAGGTGCATTCTAGGTCACTTGGGGTTATACAGAGTGGGAACACCTCAAAAAAAAAAAAAAAAAAAAAAAAAAAAAGACATTTTATACAACTATAGTAATTAAGACAGTGAAGAATTGGTGTCAACTAGCACACAGCTTTAATCTCAGCACTTGGTAGACAGAAGTAGATGGATCCTTGTGAGTTTGAGGCCAGCCTGGTCTGCAAAGTAAGTGCCAGGACAGCAAGAACTGCAGAGAAACCCTGTCTTGAGGGAAGGGGGAAAAATAACTTTATATAAAATGCTGATGTTTCTACAAATTCCACTGGGTTAAAAGGAAGAAAACTACCATAGAACAACTGATCAGAAGAACTGACCAGTTCATGTACCATCCTGACAGGACACATTCTTAGAGAAATGCTGTTATACTTAACAAAGACACTGTCACAGTGACATAGTAGTAAGGTTTAATAGTGATGAAGCGGAATTTTGGTAATGAATGAATGAATGAATGAATAATAAAGGGATTCCATTTCTTATTAGCTCATTATTCCTAAAACCTTCAAAGGTCTAGAGAGCAAATTATGAAAGTAATCGGAGAAAAACAGGTCATGGGATCAGGTTCTACTGATATATGAGGCACTAACACTGACAGGAGATGTGGACATGTAGTAGGCCAGAGGATCAATTTCCACCTCGACCAACACCACTTATTACTACCACCACCACCACTACTAAAAATTCCTTTATAGCCAAGAGGTCTGTCAAGGACAAGGGACCAGTTAAGCATTTGGAGTAAAATTTGAAGCAAAAACTAAGTTTGCGGGCCCTGAGAATTTTCTCAATTCTATCTTAGAGACTATACAAACTTGATGAAGATTTAGGACCTCAGTTTCTAAAACTATCATAGCTTACTTACAAGTTTAAAATGGCATAGATATAAATGGAAATACCAGCTACACATCAATCATACAAGATATGAAGATATATAATTCAAGTAACAAAACCCAATGGACTTGACCCCACGTGCAAAATACAAGTACCTAGAAAAAAGGGTGGGGGAATTAAGATCTTTATGAAAATCACAAAATGAGAAAGCAAATTAAGTATATTATCTGTGTTAGTTTTATGTCAGTTGGGGTCAGGGACAGAGGAAGCAGCAGATGGACAGCATTAGAAGGCAGCCTGAACTACAACATTAGGTCTAGGGCAGCCAGGGCTACACAAGAGAAAGCCTGTCTCCAAAAACTGGAAAAAAAAAAAAAAAAAAAAAAGGAGGGGGGAAGATTCCTCCACTAGATATGCCTGAGGGGCATTTTCCTGATTGATGATGGGTATAGAAGGGCCGAGTTCACTGTGGATGGTCCCACCCCTGGGCTGAGGGTCAGGAGTGAAAGCAGGCTAAGCAAGCCTTGGGAGATACCCAGTAAATAGCACCTCCCCATGGCTTCTGCTTCAGTTCCTGCCTTCAGGTTCCTTCCCTTCTTGACTTCCTTCTCTTTCTTCAGGGATGGACTGTGAAGTGGAACTAGGCCGAAATAAACCCTTTCCTTCCCAAAATGTATTTGTTCTTGGTGCTTTATCACAAAATACTAGAAACCCTAAGACAATAACCATATCTTGTTTAAAAAAATATTAAATGGCACATGCTTATCCTATACTTGAGAGGCTAATACAGAATGGTCATAAATTTGAGGTCAGACTGTATATATAATGCAAGACTCTTTTTCCACAGACAAAAACTTTAATAAAAAGAACATAAACTACCACAAATTCTCTATTAAAAAAAATTTTTTTTGAAGGGACAGAATATATAGCTCACAGCTGGAACACTTGCCTAACATTCACAAAAATCTGTGATTAATCATCAACACAGAAGCTTGACGGAAGATGGAAAGTTACCCAAAATTTCCAGTTTCTACACTCAATGTTTTTTTTCTTTTTTGGTTTTTCAAGATAGGGTTTTCTCTATGTAACAGCCCTGGCTGTCCTCTAAATATCACTTTATAGACCAGCCTACCCTTGAACTCAGAGATCCACCTGCCTCCAGACTGCTAGGATTAAAGGCATGTGCTACTATGCCCAGCTAAAAGTATGAATATTTTACATTTAAGAAATAAATAGGAAAAAGGAAAAGGGATCCCTCTTTCCATATTTACAAGTAATTGCTTAGAGCAACAGCTCTCAACCTGTGGGCTGTGACCCCTTTGGGGGGGGGGCAAATAACCCTTTCGCAGATATCACCTAAAGACCATGGGAAAACACAGATAAAATACATTACAATTCATAACAGCAACAAAATTATAGTTATGAAGCAGCAACAAAAATAATTTTATGGTTGGAGTCACAACATGAGAAAGTGCATTAAAGGGTCACAGCATTACGAAGGTTGAGAACCACTGACTTAGAAACACCTTGCACAAAATAAGTATGCCATAAATTTTAGTCACCACTTCTCCTCAGGTGAAGCAGTAGAATTAAGACTAAGTGCCTATGTTAAAGAATTTGATTTGAAAATGCCAGGAATTGGTAAGAGAAACAATGATGATATATGTCCTATAAAACAGTTTCTAACATTAGAGATGGTCAAACAATCTTGAGGAATTCTTGCTACAAAAATTAATTCCTGTACCTTGAGCAACTGATTCTAAGGTTTTGTTGTTTTTTTAAACTAACAATCTTGGAGTGATTGCTACTGAAATGGTCACTAAATTGTCCCTCTACTTATCACTTAATGTAAACTGACATTATCTTACCTATGAGATTCTTGCTCTCCTTTCATTTTCTCTACTTTTGATAACATATCATCAACTTTAAATGTTTTCCTGGAAGAAACAGATAAACAAAATAATCACTTCTCAACTGGGAAAACACAAAATTATACTGTAATCAGCAAAGTAGAAATTTGATTTTGATTATTTTAAGATAAATTAGATGGCTAACCATAACAATGCACACACTATTGAGACAAAATGTTATAATAAAGCAGACAAGTTTTCAAGCTCAACTATAAATGTCATTTTTCTTGAAACCTCCTGTAATGATGTCTTAGTCAACAGTAATTCTCCATGGCATTTCATTTTACTTTTGTTGTTTTTGTTTTTTGAGTAGGGTTTTTCTCTGTGTAGCCTTGGCTGTCCTGGACTTGCTTTTTGTAGACCAGGCTGGCCTTGAACTCACAGAGATCCTCCTGCCTCTGCCTAGGATTAGAGGCGTGTGCCACACCACCAGGCCTCTTCACTAATCTTTAAAGTCTCCTCTTGTGTTTTATCTCTACTAAGAGACTGTTAGTTCCTGAAGGGCAGTGAGTACTTGTTAAGCAGATAGTTTTGCTCTAAGGCCTTAAAATAGTAGGTATTTATGCATCTATCATGTTGAGCCAAACAAATGTAAAATGTGTGTGTGTGTGTGTGTGTGTGTGTGTGTGTGTGTGTGTGTGTGT